TTAACCAATAGCAACTTTACATCAATAACAAGTAGGGAAAATGAGCAAAGTAAAGGCAGGTAAATCAGCAAAATATTAAATCCTAGTGCATCTGTCTACACAGTCCCAGACTTCCCTAGGTGCCTGTTCACAATCTAACACACCCCTTTTTGGATAAGGGATCCCTCTGTCTGCAGCAGCTTCTACCACCAACCCTGCTCCCTGAGAGAGAACACCCTCCCACTCTGGGTAACGCCTTTTATCTCCTCTTCCCAGACACCACCCTCTGTTCCCCTATTGCTGTAGTTTTCCCTCTAAAATCTCCTGTAACCCAATCACAGCGTCCAGAGGAAACCTGGGAAATGTAGGCCGGGCCCTGATGATTACTCCAATACAGGCTTCCCTGGAGCCACTAGGCCTCCCCCCCAGAGCCTGTAGGCCGTATCACTATAGGCCCGTGAGGGGAGGGGCCTAAGCAAGGTTTGATGCTATAATAGAGTCCCCCCTCCAAAGCAGCCATTTTCTCCAGGGGACCTGATCTTGGTCATCTGGTAGGGCTGCCAAGTCCCCCCGGGGGGCAGATTTCCCCCCGCTTTGGAGGCCCGATTTCCGCCGCCACGGAATCGGCCCCCGGGGGAAACCCCACTCCCGCGTGCACGTCACCCGGAGGTGTGGCCCCGCCCCCAGCGTAGCCGGCATCATCACGTCACCTCCGGGTGACGTGCACGCCGGGGTGGGGTTTCCCCTGGGGCGCGCGCGCTGAAGACGCCGTCTGGGAGCCCCCCGCCGCGGGGCTCAAACGACTTGGCAACCCTATCATCTGGAGATCAATTGCAATAGCGGGAGATCTCCAGGGACCAGCTGAAGGTTGGCAGCCCTATCACAGCAATCCGGTCAACAGCCCGGTTAGGCAAGGCAGTGTTACAGCCTCCAGTCTGCAAGGGGTGAGGCAGAGTGGGCTGCCCACGATCACTAAGGGAGTTTGCAGCAGAGATTAGGTCTCATGATGGGCCACTGCTCAGCCACCCAGTCGGTTCTTCTCTTTCAGAGTCTGGACCCTTTTTGGGAGGTGACTGTCAACTCCCCCTTCTCAGAGCAGGATCCACAGGACATGGTGAAGGCACGGCTTCCCACAGAGACCACTCATGAGGAGGAGGAGGAGGCGGAGGAGGCATGCTTGCTTGGTAAGGATTTCTGAGTGTGCACCTGAATGGCACGAAACCCTCTGGAGGTGATTTCTCTTCCAGATGTATGAGCGTCACCTGATAAACAAAATATGCCCTCTTCTTTAAAGCAGTTGTTTTCATACGCAAGTATACATAGATGCAGTTGATTAAGAGCCAGGGTGGTATACTGCTTACAGTGTCGGACTAAGGTCTGGGAATATTGGAATACTGCTGACAGGCCAGAAAGGCTAACAAGGCTGTGGTCTGTTATATTTTAATGCCACCTCCAGAAAACTCAGGGCGGCACACTTGGTTCTCCCTTTGTATTCTCACAGCAACCCTGTGAGGTAGGTTGAGCTGAGACAGAGATTGGCCCCAGGTCAGCCACTGAAGTTTCCTGGGTGAATGAGGATACTAGAACTGAGATCTCCTTAGCCCTGGCCCACCATGCTAGCTATTATGCACCACCAGTTCCCTGAGGAAGAAGAGGAGAAGACAAGACTGGATTTATACCCCACCCTTCACTACCCAAAGGAGTCTCACAGCAGTTTACAATCCCTTCCCCTCCCCACAGCAGACACCCTGTGAGGTAGGTGGTGCTGAGAGAGCTCTCTCGAGAACTGCCCTTGAGAGAAGAGCTCTGAAAGAACTTGTGACTGGCCCAAGGTCACAACAGCAGCTGCATGTGGTGGAGTGAGGAATCAAACCTGGTTCTCTCAGGTTAGAGTCCGTGCTCTTAATCACTACACCAAGCTGGCTCTCAAGGGAGACCATGCTGCCATGAAATCATTTGAGAATTTCTGATTTCTAACACACACAATTCTAAGCAGGCTGTTTTAAAATAAAAAAGTCCCTGTGATCATTTTGTGCTGATAAGATTTAGCATTTATAACACAAAGTTGTGCAAAGTATTTTACACATAGATTCCTTTCTTAGAATCTTCAAAACAGCCCTGCAAGTAGGTCAGTATCCTCCCTGTTGCTTTTGGAGCTTAGCTGTGCTTGATTTATTTTATGCTGCTGCTCATTGAGAGGTTGTTTGTCCCCAATGAGCCAATTAATCTTTTTATTTAATCCTTCAGCTAATGCACAAATGAAGGCAAAAGTAGAGAATCTTCCATTGCAAAGATCTGAGCTAGTGGAGCTTAACAAGACATTGCTGGGAAAAGCCAAAGGGAATATCTTCCTGTTTCGTGATGAGACAGAAGTGTCTTTAAATCAGCAGGGATTAGAAACACCAGAGGGAAACCCTCCAGAAAAGACAATTTTGCTTTGCACAGTTGACCAAAGTTTACATGGCAGTACAGTGAGAGAAGGCATCCTCAAGCATAAGAGAAGAAACTCATGCACAGAGTGTAAAAATCTCCGTCAGAGCTCTGACAGTCCAAAGAATCGGGGAATGCAAATAGAAGATTTGTATATATGCACACAATGTGGGAAAACGTATCAAAATGAGGCATCCCTCGCTGCACACAGAGGGACTTCCACAAGAGACAAACCATATCACTGCTTAGACTGTGGCAAAGGCTTTGGCTGGAAGTCCTCCCTCATTACGCACAACAGGACCCACACTGGCGAGAAACCCTACGAGTGTTCGGACTGCGGGAAAAGCTTCAGCATTAACTCTCAGCTCGCAAGGCACAAAAGGATCCACACGGGCGAAAAGCCCTATCACTGCGCCGACTGTGGCCGGAGCTTCAATCAGATTGCGTCACTCATCTCCCACAAGAGGACCCACACGGGAGAGAAGCCCTACGAATGCTCCGAATGTGGGAAGTATTTCGGCACGAGGACGACTCTCATCATGCACAGACGGGTGCACACGGGAGAGAAGCCATATCGGTGTGTAAACTGCGGGCAGAGCTTCAGTCAGAGGACACATCTGGTCATACATGAGAGGACCCACACGGGAGAGAAACCGTACAAGTGCTCCCAGTGTGTGAAAAGCTTCACTTCCAGCTCGGACCTTAGGAAACATCAAAGGGTGCACATTGGAGGGAAGCCATTGACGTGTCCGTCACTGAAAGCATGAGTAGAACATTAGGCCGGATTCAGACATGTGCGAGAGTGAGGTGATTGAATAGACTTCCCTACTTCCGACTGCAGGATTCTGGCTTTGGATGTTTCTTTGAAGGATCATTTTTAAAATTCCATTCATGTAGAAAACTAGCACAGCAGGGAGAAAAGTTCTGCAAGGAGTTTTTAATACGAGGGAGCGTTCATGAATGGCGTTTCCTCCATCTTCAATCTGAAGTGGTATAGTCCATTCAATCAGCACCTCAGTTGAGTGTACTGTACCACTTCAGGTTACAGGAGGGAGCATTCTGGAAAGTTCTCCGTGGTTTAAAAATAAAACAAAACCAAAACTGCTTGGCAAATTAAAAACCAATACCCAAAGCTAGGGGGGTAGAAAATCTCTCTTTGCTGTTCAACATTTCTGTTCATATGGAGCTTGGGGGGGGGGGGGGGAAAGGAGGGGGACAAATACCCTCTAAAATGGTGCAATCCATCCTACCGCCTCAGCATTCTGACTACTTAAAAAAAATTATTTATTTACATTATTTATATGTTTACCATGGGTGAACAAACTAGGGTTGCCAACAAGCCTGGAGAAAAAAATGTCATGTCCCTTTTGCAGGGGTGCTAATGGGGTGTTATTTACCAGGTGGTACGCTTTGCCTCTAGGCCATGAAAAGCTTCAGCTCTCTCCACATATTAAACCTCTGTTAAAGGGACAGGTCATTTTTCCTCCAGGCCAGCTGGCAGCCTTAGAACAAACTCCAGCACAGACCAGTCATACAGTAATGACCAGAATGAGGAGAGTTTCTGATCTTGTGGGCCTCAGACAAGAACACCAAGGTTGAAGACTGGAAGATGATCAGTTTGTACAGGGCGAACCCAGTACTTTTCAGGGCAGAAAAGGTTTTTCTTCCCCATCACCTTCTGTCTCTTTTTTCAGGATTTCACCAGCTGGTCTCTCATGCAGTGGGGCTGTCATGGAAGTACCAGATGCGATGTCCCAGCGTCTCAGCCTTCAGAAGACAAGTGACAAGAGTTGCAGGCAGATTAGGCAAACACTAAGCATCTTCCTGTTTACTGTCACTGCCTCCCTTTGAAGTGTTGTTGTTGTTCAGTCGCACGGTCGAGTCCGACTCTTCGCGACCCCATGGACCAGATCACGCCAGGCCCTCCTGTCTTCCGCCGTCCTCTGAAGTTGGCTCAATTTCATGTTCGTTGCATCTATGACACGGTCTAACCATCTCATCCTTTGCCGTCCCCGTCTTCTTTGACCTTCAGTCTTTCCCAGCATCAGGGTCTTCTCCAGAGAGTGCTCCCTTCTCATTGGGTGGCCAAAGTATTTGAGCTTCAGCTTCAGTATCTGGCCTTCCAGGGAACAGTCAGGGTTGATTTATTTTAGGATTGACTCACTGGTTTGATCCTTGCAACAACGGACTTTCCTTTCACCATCAGACACATCCTCAACTGAGTGTGTAGTCGATCAATACTATTTAGGGAAGGGAACGTCCTTCCTCTCCTCTCCCTCCCTCCTTCTCTCTCTTCCATGCACACAAGATGGAGATGCAGGATGCTCCTCTCAGCATCCGCACCCATCTGCTAGCTAGATAGCATAGGAACTTCTCTACCTCTACTCTGCACTGTCAAGTCTGTATTTCTAGAATAAAGTAGTTATTAGTTTCATTGAAGTTGAAACATGACTCTGTGTGACTTCCTAAACTTGCAAGCGCATGGTAGGTTCTGGACAAAGAGCAGCTGTGTTAAACTTAGCTCTGCTAAGTTAAGAAGAATCTGCACCACCAGAACCAGTACCCTTCCAACAACGGGAAGCTCCCCCCCCCCCCCCCCCAGCAAAGAAACCTCTTTGCAAATACTTCTGTTCTTCCACCTGGGTCTGGCTGTTTCAGAGAACTACACTTCCCAGAAAGCCTTGAGAGCACGAGAGAAGTCAACCCTGCCTTTTCCTGGCGTTGAAGGGGGAGGTTCTTCATTGTGCAGGAGAAGGAAATTTGGGGAGCATGGAGTTCGGCAGCGCCTCCCATCTTTCTCCTTTGCCCCGGCTGGAGGAAAAATTTGGCTTTTGCACGTCTGCAGGAAAGGTGAGTTTAGGATGTCCCAAAACAGGTCTTGGGCAAGAATAGGGGGGCGGTGACTGAAAGAGGAAGAGGGCGGAGCAGCAGGAGAGAGGCTTCCCCGGGCAAGATTTGTGCCGCGGGTGGTGGGGGGCGCTTCTTTTCCCACCCACTTGGAGGTGTTCCCTGCAATCAGCCTTGTAGTATTTTATTATTCAAACTTGGGTGGACCTCCGGGCTGATCCCGCAGGGTTCATTGTCTGTTCTTACTGGGGGCTCCTTAGTTGGCTCTACTGGCGATGTGATTTTTAACGTGCTTCACGGGCTAATTCCCATAGAGGCGTTTGGCTGGGCTCTGCTCTTGTAATGGTGTGAGTGTTGCCTCCTTTGGCGTGCGGTCCCGCGGAGCATCATCCGCAAGAACAGCTCTGAATTGGAAACCGGTCTGAAGGTTTCTTTTGTGAAGGAGGGAATCCTCCCTGTCTGTGCTGCGGCCACCTTTTTGGCTTCCCGGGAACTAACCATCACTTCCCCTGCAAAATACTAGAGGGATTTTCTGTTGTTAATCTGGATTGTCAATGTGTTCATTCCCTTCATTGTTGGCCTCGCAACTCCCGGATCCTAGCTTCCATTTTATTGTAGAAAAATACTACCACCACACCACCACCACCCAGTTTGGAAAAAGATTGCAAGATGTTTGTCTTTGCCTTAAACGTTTTCTGTTCTACGGAATCTGTTGAGACGGTGCACTAACGTGCTTGCAATCCGAGGGCATGGCTCGCGTACTGCAGTGATTGGACAAGGCCTTAATATCTGGAAAGATCTCTGAGCCTGCCCTTTTGTGCTGGATGTTCTGGGCCCCGTTTCTCTCACCTGCCGAACCCCGAGGATCATACAGCCTGGAATGAGTAGGCCTGGGGGTTGTTAGGAAAAATATAGAACAAAATAGACGATGAGCTTAATTAGGCCAGTTTCTTTTTACAGAGCTGGGTGTAAGCCTTAGACTAACACGAAGGGCCTGATAGGTTTAGGCAAAACTAATTTCAGCTCCTGTGCAAAGTAGGATGTGATAAAGTACTCTGGGGCAAGTGATGCTGTCATCTTGGTGCTTGGGGGGGGGGGTCAACAGTGGGAGGGCTTCTATGTTAGGAAAAATATAGAACAAAATAGACGATGAGCTTAATTAGTGATGCTCTGGATGTGATAAAGTACTCTGGGGCAAGTGATGCTCTGTCATCTTGGTGCTTGGGGGGGGGTCAACAGTGGGAGGGCTTCTAATGTCCCGGCCCCACTGGTGGACCTCTTGAAGGCACTGGTATTTCTGGCCACTGTGTTATACAGAGTGTTGGACTGGATGGGCCTTTGGCCTGATCCAACATTGGCATCTCTTATGTTCTTAAGTAGGCAAGATGTTCCAGCTGATTAAGCAGAAGTGTTACTTAAACATAGAGGAGTAGTTTTGTAAGGCCAAAGAGACACACAAGCACTCCAAAACAAGGGCAAAAGAGATACCTGCTTGTCAAATGTACTTATATGGACATAAGGGAAGGTAGAAAGTCTGTAATCTAAAAGACATCTGTCCATTTCTAAAAGTTGTTTATGACATTGCATAAAAGGTTGGTGGTGTTCTAGTGGATTCCTTGGGGTTTGCGGCTGAGGTCCCCTTTGTTTGAAGAAAGCTTTGTCTGCTACTGTCTCGCTGGTTGTGTTCATCATTTGGGCCTTGACACAGGAAGCAAACAGCTCATTTGGCTAACATACCTCTGCCAAAAAAAAATGTTTAAAGTAGAAACCGTCTCTAGAATCACGATGTTCATGTATCAGTGGGGTTAAATGTACAGGACGGTATAATAGACACTGGTATACAGTCACTTAGGGGTTTTTTTTGTTTTATCATTTACTTGGACTTGACCCAGAGAAGGCCAGTTTTGTGCAATGTTCTGAACTTATATTTCTTAGAGACTTTTGGTGTATCACAACTGTCAGAGCCTCAAAAAAGTTGCAATTTTCCTTGCCATCAGCTTGATGTATTGCATCCCCCCTATTGCATTGGGGGAGTGCGCAGTGGTGTCTTCTTTCCTTCTTGAAAGCTCAGGCAGAGGAATAGATGATCAACTGGGCCCTATGTTCCTCTTTCAGAGACCCCCAGTGTCCTTTGAGGAGGTAGCCGTATTCTTCACCGAGGAGGAATGGGCTCTGCTGGATCCAGGCCAAAGAAAAGTCTTCTGGGAAGTGATGGAGGAAAATTATGAGACCGTGGCCTTTCAGTGTAAGGCTGTTTTCCCTTTGATTATGAACACAGAAGAGAAGGGAGGGGGTGGCGTCTTCCTTTGACCTTCTTGAATGAAGGAATGTGCTTCCGCATAGTTTCCTTTTCGTTCTTGTGGTATATGGCTTTATGAATTTATTGTATGACAGAGTTACACGTAGGAAGCATATAATAATATAAAATACATAGCCAAGTTGATACAATGGGTATGCAGAATGATTGAGTTAATCCCCCTAAATACTAATATCTAAATTTTCAATCCATTCAATTAGAGGGTGGGGAGAGTACAGAGAGCTCCATCACAGTTATGGTTTTATTCATTTTAAATTTGTCCGTCGCCTAGAGCCTCACATTAGTGGGGATTAGGTGATTCCTAAATGTCATGAGATGGAGCTGCGGTGGCTCAAGTGGTTAAGACGCTGAACTGCAGGCTGTGGAAGGGCAGTAGTTCAGCAGTTCGAGACCCGAGCTGCCGCATGACGGAGTGAGCTCCCGTCTCTAGTTCCAGTTCCTGCCAACCTAGCAGTTCGAAAGCAAGAAACTGCAAGTAGATAAATAGGTACCACTTCGGTGGGAAGGTAACAGCGTTCCATGCGCCTTGGTGTTTAGTCATGCTGGCCACATGACCACGGAAACGTCTTCGGACAGCGCTGGCTCTTCGGCTTTGAAACGGAGATGAGCACTGCAACCCTAGAGTCGGACTCGACTGGCTTTCGAGCAAGGGAACCTTTACCTTTAAATGTCATGAAAAAAATAAATAAATCTCCCTGGAAAGCACGATGCTAGTGGGCTGCACCACATTCACATCCTGGTGTTTTGCCCCATTTAAACAACAGGTCTGCACAGCTGCCAAAGCCTGTTCCTATTCTATTAGCCATCTTCCATACTTTACGTGGCAGGTCAAATCCTGCGGGCCTCTCCTAGATGTTATGGATGTTATGGATATCGGGTGGCACGGATTGCAACCATATTCTCAACCATTCGTTCCCTAGATCAAACTTTTGTGATTGCAGGATTTGTGCAGATCTTATTGCTGGGTGTTGGGATCTTAGTCTGGATAGGCCGGTGTCAGCCATGGTATAAGGCATGTAACAGTGACCAGATGTCCTTAGTGCAGCAAGTGGAAAGGCTTTGGGTCGCTGCTGTGAGGTAAGTTTTGTATTGAGCCTGAAGAGGACAGAGGTCACTGAAGCTGGGGTTTTCATAAAACAAGGAAGATGATCTATTTATACGCACAGGGGGATGCCTCACAAAGTGACAAATGACCAAAAAACATTATACCCCATGTTCCCAAGTAGTTTTTAATTTCCTTTGGGTGTTGCTGTTACAGGGGACTACATTTCCCAGAAGGATTTGCGAGCACTGGAGAGGTCAAACTGCCTCACGAAGTGACAAATGACCGAAAAACATATATATATTCCACGTTCCCAAGTAGCTTTTAATTTCCTTTGGGTGTTGCTGTTACAGGGGACTACATTTCCCAGAAGGATTTGCGAGCACTGGAGAGGTCAACCCTGCGTTCTCAAGGTGTCGAGGGAGTGTCTTTCCCTCGAAGTGGAGAAGGAAATGGGTGGGATCTGCAGTCCCACAGGGCCTCTCCTCTCTCTTGTTTCCCCTGGCTGGAGGGAGAATTTGGCTTTTGCATGTCTGCAGGAAAGGTGAGTTGAGGATTCCATCAGCAACTCCTGGGCAAGAATAGGGGAGGGAGAGAAGATATGTGTGAGCGGGCACGGAGGAGGAAGAGCTGACCGAAGGGAACATCGGGAGGAAAGCTTCTGGGTCAGATCTCTGCGGTGGTGGTGGGGTACTTGCGTACCCACATGAATTTGTTTTCTAAAACCATCCTGGGTTTCTTTATGTTTGTCAGCTAGAAGCGGGCACGGAGGAGGAAGAGCTGACCGAAGGGAACATCGGGCGGAAAGCTTCTGGGTCAGATCTCTGAGGTGGGGGTGGGGTACTTGCGTACCCACTTGAATTTGTTTTCTAAAACCGTCCTGGGTTTCTTTATGTTTGTCAGCTAGATGAGCCCCTGGTCTGATCCAGAACGGTTCTTTGTTCTTACTCGCCCCCGTAGCTTGCTGCGCTTGCAGTTTTGTTTTTCACGTTCTCCACCACCCAACCCCCAAAGATGCATTTGACCATATTTTGCTCCTACGATGGAAGTATTTTAGACATCTACTGTCGCTTCCCCACCAACAGGTAAACGGAGATATATTGCAGGAGGCCCGTGAGCTTGATTGGGAAACAAATGACATCTTTATTTTCACTGAGCTCTAATTGAAAGTTAGCATTTCCTTCCATTATGAATGAAGGCAACAAGCCACAG